CTCCTTGGCTTTATCGGTTCAATTATATTCGACGATTAATGATGTTGAAAATTGTTCATTTTGAAATTGCTTCTCCTTTTTACTGCTTGAAGTGTATCTACCGGGAGGCAGCATCACATCACGTTTAGTTCGAATCTCGTTGTTCTGTGAGTGTTGAAAAAAATTGCAGAATTAAGGTAAACTTAAATTAGATCAATGAGAGCGTAAGTTAGGTCATTTTTGAACAAATCCGCAATATTGGATATTTTCTGAAAACACAAATCCATTAGTCAATGGGGCGAAGTGCACACACTAGGCAGATCAAAGGAAGTTAGCGAATTTGTATTGCAGCAGTAGAACTTCCTCCCGCCCTGTGCCTTGAGGGCAAAGATAACAAAGGGGATGAAAATCACTCTTGTGCCCAAGAACGATTACTCACTGAGCCAGTGATAGGCAGTCAACCACGATAAAGTAGTACAACAAAGGGGGGCAGGTGTCCCTAGACAGACAGTCATTTGTCAATTCTCGTGATGGCTGCCAGGCCAACAACACATTACGCTAATTATTTCGAAAATCTATTTTTTTTCCTGTTGACCAAGTTAATGCAGACAAAGCACAGAAATTGCAAATGGAATTGAAGTTTGAAAGGTACACGCAGATTAAACTATAGCGGTTCCTTTGCATTAGCTGTTTTGTAAAACACACAAGAGTAAAATGTGTACATATGACTTTAAAATCAACTAAATTTTAATATCATCGATTTTATTTATAATCGTGAGACACAAAATATGTAATAGCAATTTTTGTGTCAGAGGTGGTGAACTTGTAGATCGATTATGACATGCACCCCTCCGGTCTGTAACAGCTGTACTGTGATAAAAGTTGACTTGAGACTACCAACACATATTCACATAATAGTATTGTTGCTCTAAATCCTGCCATTTGCATATCACGAAAGTTTAATTAGTAATTACTAATTTACACTTTCTGCGTCCTTCGGTCCGTGTGGGAATGTTATACGTTTCAACCTTTTGTCGCTAGCAAGAGATAGTTTTGGAGAAGATGTCTCAAATTTTGGTATTTAAAAACACGAATATTTGTCCTATTTATTTCTTATGACTGTTGGTGCGAAACTTAAGTTACATTTGCACTTTTATTTCTATTAAAACAAGAAACTTTACTGCCTGATACTGCCAACATTTTACGAAAGTCGTCCTTAATATAAAAGTATATTTTTTTTTTATTTGTCAGAATGGTTTACATCTATTATTCTTGGTTATTAATGTACTTCGTTTTATCAAGCTTTTAGGTACTTACTTACTCATGGAGCTGAGCCCTTCTGAAGGAGCCGCCAATTCTGCAGCTACTCAAGAATTTCCCAGCATTTTATGGAACCCAAAAGTTCATTACCGTGTTCACAAGAGCCCTCCACTGGTCCCTATCCTGAGCCAGATCTATCCAGTCCATACCATCCCATCCTATCTCTCTAAGATCCATTTTAATATTGTCCACCCATTTACGCCTTGGTCTTCCCAGTGGTCTCTTTCCTTCTGGCTTTCCCAGCAATATCCTATACGCATTCCTCGCCTCCCCCATTCGTGCTACATGACCTGCCCACCTCATCCTCCTTGACTTGATCATTCTAATTATACTTGGAGAAGAGTACAAGTTATGAAGCTCCTCATTATGCAGTTTGCTTTTAGGTATATATTTTTAAAATATTTGCGCTTTTTGATACATATATTCAAGCAGCTCTATATTTTCACTGATTCTTAACAATTTTATTGTTCTTTAAATATATAAAATTTTCAGCCCCTAATAGGTATATGTGAACAAAGGGTTCTCGTGTTTATTATAGTCTGTTTATAATAAAACTGGTCCCAAGGGTTTGTGAACCATAAAAAAGTGGAGGTTCATATAAATAAGCCATATTATTATTATATTACCCGGTAATTATAGCCATTATATTTATCCCTGACATATGAAGAAGTGTTAATTAGAGTCAGTGAGCTGAGGAATATCCTACACGAAATAAGAAAACGGAAGGCTAATTGGATTGGTCATGTTTTACGCAGAAACTGCCTTCTAAAAGAAGTTATCGAAGGAAAGATAGATGGGCGGATAGAAGTGACAAGAAGACGAGGAAGAAGACGTAAGAAGATGCTGGATGACCTTGGGGACAGAAGAGGATACTGTCATTTGAAGGAGAAAGCTCTAGATCGCATTAAGTGGAGGAATTGTTTTGGAAGAGACTGTGGACCTCTCGTCTTGAAAGATTACTGCTGATGATGATATGACTCAATGAATTACATTAATTAATTAAATATATGTGATATCGTCAGTTATTATCGGGCATATGTTGTGTTGTTCAGTATTAATGTGAAAATCAGCTAATTACTAATTATTCGATTATGTTGTCGTAAAGTGAATTAGATCAATGTTTCCGTGCAAAGATACAACCATGAAGATACACGAATATTGAATATAAAGCACTTTATTTCGCATAAATCTAGAATGAAATGGAAATTCATACGCAGTGACAGCAGTGTTGCTCAAGCACAGCCGTGGAAAGCTGCTGGGAATACGCTGTGAATATGAGGAGTTATTCAGCACCGTATAATTGAAACTTATGACATTTTTATGTAGGATTTGAGATTCTCAGCGGTGGTCATGAGGATTTCTGTCTTCTGGTATACGAAGCCGTTTAGCCCGTCGAGAGACAACCGATGTCTCGGAGAAATATATTGTCTCCATCTTCAGTAGAAGAAGTTAATCTAACAAGAAATCAGCATGAAGTAGGAAACAAGCAATTGTTTTAATTGCATATAATTTTTACAAAAGTCATGAAATAATGTAAATGTTTGGTTATAAACAGTACAAAATCACCGTTTTCAAGGATCCTATCACATAATACATACCCTATAGGCCTATAATGAAGCCACTTCTCGTGTGGTACGACAGTCCAGTGCGGACCAAGGGCTCTCGTTTTCCGGATCGTGTATGTAGACTCTCGTAGTAACACAGGACAATACAAACATAGAAAATAAAACATACGTTCATGCGCGGGATGGGATTCGAACCCACTACCCCTATGTTAGAGCAGATCTTAGACTGCATGGCCGCTGTGATTGTCATGAAATCCTTTTCTTCTTAATAAATACTTGATCTATTGTCTCGGAGATTTGAGTTCTAGCAAACAAGGTACAGCTGTAGTACGGTGGGACAGTGTGGTCCTCCACGTGCATGTCATGTGTGTTTGTGGGCTTAGAGAGTCGTCAGCTTTTGAAATAATAAGCCAAAAATCATTAACATTACAATAACAACAACAAAATCCACAAGATGATGTTCCTCGGCCACGGCTACGCGCAGCCGGGCAAGAACCCTCAGGCTTCAGGGAACAACTTCCCTCTCGAAGATGGAGAAGATGTATATTCCCGAAACACCAGTACGCACCCACTAAGCCACTGAACCCCGCCCCAGTAGGTAGTCATCAAAAAAAGAATTGGTCATGTGTGGGTCAAGGACAAAATTTGATAAACATTATGAAAACTAAAAATGGGCCCGATAATAAAAAGGGGTTAAATGTTCTTAATAAGAACTTTTCCAGCCAGTGGTACAGAAACACACTCCCGTCGTCCTACTTGGTATATCTTTATTCGACATGTAATCGGAGTTTCCGAGAATGGATATTACGTTTACGAAATCGTAAAACAATGCTCAGGCAGAGTTGTAGAATATGGAGCATAATGACATAAACATTTTGTTTTATACGCCCATTGTGCCCTATAAAACGAAATGTTTATGTGCCCTAAATTAAGAGGAGATTGAACTCGGGTAATGTTTGCTACCTTTGAGTCCAGAACATTTTGTCTTCTCGTCTGCTGTTTAAAAACATAAAAATTAGAATATACAAAACTATAATTTTGCCTGTGGTTCTGTATGGGTGTGAAACTTGGTCTCTGACATTAAAAGAGGAACATGGACTGGGGGTGTTTGAGAACAGGGTGTTGAGAATATTTGGACGGTAGAGAGATGAAGTGACAAGAGGTTGGAGAAAACTGCATAATGAGGAGCTTCATAACTTGTACTCTTCTCCAAGTATAATTAGAATGATCAAGTCAAGGAAGGTGAGGTGGGCAGGGCATGTAGCACGAATGGGGGAGACGTGGAAAACCAGAAGGATAGAGACCACTGGGAAGGCAAAGGCGTAGGTGAGTGGACAATAATAAAATGGATCTTAGAGAGACAGGATGGGGGTAGTATGGACTGGATTAATCCGGCTCAGGACAGGGATCAGTGGAGGGCTCTTGTAATCACGGTAATGAACCATCAGGTTACATAATATTTTGGGGAGTTCTTGAGAAACTGAGGGACTGGCAACTTCTTAAGAAGGACTCAGCTCCATGGAGTTAGTTATAGTAGTTATAGGGATAGAAAAGAATTATATGAGGTTGTGAACCGAGTTCGTCTGGCTCAGGATCGGTTCCTGTGAAAACGTCAACAAACTTTCGGTTTTCATAAAATGGGAGTTATGTCTGGGCTGAGTGGCTGTAAGCTTCTCAAGGACCTGTTCCGTGGAGTTAGCTATACACGTAACTAGGCCCACAGGTGGGAGGTGATTAAATCAAACCGAAACTTGCCTTGCTAGGTCGGCTGTCTCCAGACCTGCATTTTCTTAACTGCGTTGTGCAGCTTCTCATGCATTGCTGACGGAGCGACTCTGACAAAACACGTTCCACTAGCAACTGTTCAGTGTGTAAGTATGACTACTGGTGTACATGTGACACCGTGGTAACTGGGCCTGTAGCAGAACGGACAGAACCAAGGCTCTGGAGCCCGTCTGCCTTCTTCTCCAACTGGGGAGGTGACCTGAGCTGTCCACCCACCTCTGTTTACTGTTTACTGTTTACTCTGTTTACGTGTAAAGCTTCTGTATATTTTCCGTGTACTCCTTCATATGAGTGCTTAGTACAGGAGAAATTCTAAGCGTTTTTCTAATTATGTTTCTGTGCGTTTTACAGGACATCCAAACACAAGGTGAGCGGAGAGTCAAACGGTTCAGCATTTTCGGTGAGTACACCACTTTGCATTATCTTTACTTTAGTATTCCGAGCACGTAGTCTTTTGAATACTAACGGGTTCTGACGATGGTGTATAATACTCAGAACGGCTTCCTTTCCCTTCCATTATATTTCTTCTAGAATTTTTCCGTCTTCTCTTCATAATCATTCCTTCCTTATTCTTTTCCTCCTACAGTTTGAATAGACCCGGGATAGCGGAATCGCTATAGCAACTGGCTATGGGCTGGACGAACGAGGGGTCGGATTTCGAGTCCCGTAGGGTCTAGAATTTTCTTTTTTCTATCGTCGTTCAAACCAGTATTGGGGCCCACCCAGCCTCCTACCAATTCGCTGCAAGGGATTCTTTCCCAGGGGGTAAATCGGCCGGGGTGTGAATCTGTCCACTCACCTCCAACTAGTGCCGAGGTCAAGAAAATGTGGATCTCTACATCCACTCCCCCATACGTCTTCATGGTGTAGTGCTTAATTAGTTAAGCACAGGGGCAATTTTACCTTATCTTACCATAGTGCTCAAATAGCGGCGTGACTGAGTTCCATACTCGTACAAGTACTGCGAGACGAGGATCTCCTATTCAGCACGAAATGCCACAGTGAGCTTTGTTTAGGCTTGACAAAACGTCTACCGAGGAAGCTGGTTTAGCTCTTCTGACTATTATTCAGGAGGTTCCTGCTTCGAATCTCGGACGGGACACCGACCGCTCTGACTAAGGAATATCGTAGTTTCCGACGCTAAGGTATGGGTCCTTAAGTAAATCAGAAAATAATAATAATACAGACACTCAATGTACGACGTTCCCATGTTTTTATTTGTGGATATTACATTGTATAAGAGGTTCCAGACCATATAACAATGGGCTAAAGGCTAGATGACCGGGATTTGATTCCCATAAGGGGCAAGAGATTTTTCTTTTACGCACATCATACAGACCGGCTACATGACGCATCCAGCCATCTGCCCAGTGTGTATCGGTAAGAGTTCCTTTTGGGATAAAGCGGCCGGTACTTGAAGCTGACCGCTTACCTCCCTCCTAGTACAGATATCGAGAATCTTGGAGCTATACCACCACTCACCCATACGTCTTAGTGGGTTGGTGTTTAATTAGTTAAGCACAAGAAAAATTGTCTTTTTATCTGTACCCAGTTGAATTTTTTCTCGTTCCCATTAAAATATATATATATATATATATTGTAATGAGTAATGAAATGTGGGACTTGTTACATGTGCAAAAGGTGAGCCTTAAAATGCTATTTGTTTTGCTCCTGATGGTCCTATTTAAAAGTCATAATGAAGATATACTTTATATGTACGTTCAATAACCCTATTTCTGTTTCCGTTTAGCATAAGGTACTCTTAAAAACGTTTCTACCTCTTTATCTATCTACAGTCCTTGCGGAACTTGGCCGCTTTTCAGTTTCCTAATCTATACACAATCGGTAGGACTCCTTGGACGGGGTATCAGATCGTCTCAAGGCCGCTACCTACACACAGAACAACACAAACGCACACAGACATCAATGCCTTGAGTGAGATTTGAATCCACTACTCCAGCGTTCGAGCGGGCGATGACAATTCAAACCTTACACCGCGCGGCCACTGTGATCTGCAATTCATCAATCCAAACATACATCTATTTTATTTTTACTTTTTAATATAGCGTGACTATTGTTGTGCTAATGGTCAGTTTATTACGAGTGAAACATCTGCGTCAGTGCATCTTGGTGTTTGTGATTCAGAATGAGATGTAATTTCTGTATAGCCCCGAAGAATATTACATGGCAGCGAAGCTTATAAACTGTCGAGCTGTATTTATTACAGCATTGGCCTAAGAATGTATTTAGTATCACATAAATTCTCGCGTACACGATCAGTGGGCGTTAGCTTGTTTCTGTCGGCGTTTACAGCCACTATTTATATTGGTGTCGTATAAAGTTTCTTAAGCAAACAATTTCTTTCTTACCACATTTCATTCACTTCAGTATAGCAAAATTAGAATTAGAATGAGAAGACAGAACTCCACGTTCGCTTATGTCTTAACCAGTGCGTAATGATCAAGATTAAATTCGATCTTTCGTTTCTTTATAGGATTATAAAATTGGCCCTGGTGTCGATTTACTGCAAGTAAAAATGCAGGCCTGACATGCACTGTCTTCGCTTGCTCGGAAGCCGGGATCGTGGGTTCGAATCCCACTCAGGGCATGGATGTTTAGTTTGTGTGTGTGCGTTTTCCTGTGTTTGTGTATAGGTAGAGACCTTGCGACGAGCTGATCACCCGCCCAAGGAGTCCTACCGTATGTGTAAGATCTAGAAAAACCGAAGTGAACGGAGAAGTTCAGGGAGGTAGGCCTAGGCCCACTGGGGCTGTAGTGCCAAGGAAAAAAAATGCAGGCCTATCTGTTAGACAGCATACTACTTACATCTGTTATTTTTCTTTGTAGGTTGGCTTAGTGGGGGGTGGAGTCCAACTGGGTCCACTCGGTACGGTGGTCACTGATTGGCCTATTGTACCTTTCCCGGGTGATAATGATGATGAAGAATTTGGTGGAATGAAGATTGGCAGGGGAAACCTAAGTACTCGGAGAAAACCCGCCCCAGCGTCACTTTGTCCACCACAAATCCCACTTGACCAGAGCCGGGCTCGAACTCGGGCCACGGCAGTGGGAAGCCAGCGAGTAACCGCTTTAGCTATGGAGCGGCCTTTCTTTGTAGGTTTGTTTCACATGTCAAATTTTGTATGAAATTACGTTAATATTAAACAAATATAAAGGAGTGGGAATGTACATTATTGTAACTTATAACTTCTATAGATAATATTAATTCATGTTTCCGACTAACCTCACCATATGGATTGTGGATATGTAGGAAAATAGGAACCATATTTGATAGGAGACTAGGTGGGCCCCAGAGCCGGTCTGGACGACGTAGAGAGGAGAAAAATCTTGACCTTACCGTGACTCGAACCCTTACCCCTCGGTCGTCCAGCCCGTAGCCAGTAGCTATACCGACTGAGATATCTCGTCTCTCGTTACATCACGTACTTAGATTACTTATGGAAATCTGATCTTGATTAGCAATTTTCATAATTTGGAAGCCACTGGACCCAGCTAGTTCTGTAACACTCTGTCCTTTCGTTAGTGATCAATCATCGTATCACGAGGCAACACACAAACACACGGCTAAGAGAGGGCGCCTTGTCTATGTGTGCCCCTGTATATTTATAGCGTATGGTTGGGAGCTGTGGTTATTATATGTTTGAGTGCGGACGGACGGCTGGGTGGATGAGGAACACAATCTGTAACCTACCCCACTCTCGCAGTAGCGATGGCAGTGATTAATTACCTCCAACCAACATACCCAATATCTCAACGCCATCGCTTTTCATCTAGTGGAGAATGAGGTGTGTCCAACAGCTTCACTTGGGGAGTCTAGGAACCGAGCTCAGGGTTTCGCCTTCGCTCGCTCTGTTCAATCCAAACATCGGATATCAAGCTGGAATTATAATATTATCGTCGTATGGATAATTTATTGACACATAATTATCTTTTCATAGTGGTTATTTTGTCGATTCGTTATTTGATATGAGTAAATATATTTAATTGGAAATTATGGAATATACGTAATAAAAATCTTTCTTAAATAATAAATTAATAGCAGTTCGGTTCTATCATAATTGAAACGTTAAATTTACATAATCAGTTTTGCACTGATTTCCAGCACTATTCGCCATAATTGTTTAAAAAGTCAATGTCAAGGCCGCGCCATAGCTCAAGCGGTTAGTCGCTGGTTTCCCATCGCGGCAGCCCGGGTTCGATCCCGGGTCAGGTCCAGTGGGATTTGTGGTGGACAAAGTGGCGTTGGGGCGGGTTTTCACCGAGTACTTCGGTTTCCCCTACCAATCTTCATTCCAACAATTGCTCCACAATCACCCTCACCTATCATCTGGGGCTGGTACAATAGGCCAATCAGTGCCCACCATGCCGAGTGGACCAAGTTGTACTTGACCCCCCACTAAGCCAATTTAAAGCCTAAAGCCGTGGTGACTCTAAAAAAAGTCAGTGTCAATATTTGCATAAGTTGACAGTGTTTATAAAATAAGTCACGAAAACTTATTTCCATACCGAAAATATTGTAATGTGAATGGCGCAACAGGAATTAGGGGTCTCGTGAACTATGCGTTTCCACGAGTGACGTCACGTACTCCAACTCCTCCCATCAATATGCAACGTTCAGTAAACACCCTTCCCCGCTAGGCTGTGACGTCACGCAACAGGCTAGTCCGTGCAGCGGCTATTGCTAGGCAATGCGTAGATAGAAACACCTGACAACAATATCTATATCTGTTGCCGAGCAGCAAGGTGTTCTCTATGTTGTCCGTGCAGAGCCTAAATAAGGAGCAGCGAACATTATTCAGGAGGACTGAGTACTGAGTTACCAGAGCGAGAGTTACTAGTATTCAGTATGAGTCCGGCAGCTACGAGTTGTGTTGTATCGAGTGAATGACAGTGACTCCAACAGGAGAAGTAATTGTGATACTGCAAATTGCAGTAATTGTGCAATTGCGAATTGTATACGTGTAAGAGCGAATGTGCAATGAATTCGCTGGATCCGCACGGTAGCGTAGTTTTTTTGCGGCACTATGCTACAAACCGGAAGGTCGCTGGTTCAAGTCCCGATGAAGTCATTGAATTTTTTTCAATTGAGCTAATCCTTCCAGCCGCACTATGGCCCTGAGGTCGACTCAGCCTCTAACAGAAATGAGTACCAGAAATTAATTAAATAATTTTCCTGGGGAGTAAAGCGCGGCCGGCGCGTAAGGCTGACAACCTTACCGCCGTCTTTGAGCAATTATCTAGATAATGTGGGACCCTCAACGTCTCACAAACCTATGGGCCTTCGCGGCCTGTTACAGGTATAGCTTTACTTACTTTTACTTACTTACTACCTAGGGACCCTACAGAATAGGAATTTCTTGACATATCTCAACCAAAAAA